CTTGGCATTGAGAATAAGGTTGCGTGTTTATCTCTTGCAAAGCAGCTCCCTGGAAACCTGCAGGGGGAGGTGACTCCACGCACATCCCAGAGTCCTCGGCGCTCTTGGCCCCCACGCCTCCACCACCGGCTCAGCCGCCTGATGCCCTGCACCCCTTTCTCTCCTCCCTTCTGTACCCTTCCCATGGCGCAACAAACATAGAAAGACTTCATTCACAGGCTCCAAGGCTCGGCCTTCTGTGGAAAGCTTTCTGAATATGCAAATTCCTCAGTATTGGATTTCTCTTTTCAAGTGTATTCTCACTGAGAGCCCTTAAGCAGATCAAGACTTTCCTGGGCGAAAGCTCCTTAAAAATGACATCTGCATGTAAAGGAGAAGCTTCTGAAACTGCCAGGAAGCAGAACTTCCAGCTATCAAGTCAGGCCTGACCACGAAGGGAGACCAGTTTCTCAGAGCTTTGCAGATGTGAAACCCTCACTTTTGATCCTCGTACCCCACCCTCACCTAGGCCTGGGCTCCTCTGTTCAGAGTTACCCTGCATTGCGCATGTTAGTCCTGGGTAACTGGGAACTCAAAATGAGATGGCTGTCACCCACCAGAAGCTCAAATCCAGGGAGGACAAGCCTCGAAATGAGCCAGCTCTCCACTTTCCAGAAGCCCAGCTCCCTTCACCCCCACAACCAGGAGGTTCAGGTCTCAGTGCCTCCTGGACAGAGCAGATCCGCACCGGGGTGACTGTTGGGTCAGTAAGCTTTAGGTGTTTTAAGGCTTGATGTCCTGTCTGGGCTGCCCCCACCTTGGCATTTCCAAGACCAGATCCCTTCCCCTGAGCTTTTCCTCGACCCTCTGACCTTCACCCTCTCACCCTCTGACCAGGTGACCCCCAGGAAGGAGTGCCCTATCCTCCCTCCAGCCTCAGATGGGGTTCAAGCTGAAATAACTGAGACAAACAAGATTTCTCTCTCCTGTTACACCCTTTCCCAATGCCACCAATAGACCACTTGGTTAAAATGGACATTTTTTTTCCTGATTATATAAGATTTCATGCCTATATTTGCTACCCACTCTTGTCACTTCTCTTGGAAATTGCTCCATGCAATATATCATTTTTAACAGCTAAATGAGGTGCTGTCATCTGACTATTCCTTAATTGATCAAATGAGCCTCTGCAGGTTCCACATATTGCTGGTTCCCAGTGCTGATCAGCGAATACTGGCTATGATGCCTGTCGGACTCACTGATGGGGAAGGGGCTCCTAGCTGCATCTGGCTTAGCCAATAAGGGAAACAGTGGCTCGTGATGTGTAGAGTCTACAGATCAAGCAGGCTCTGGGGTGGGCTTAATCCAAAGGTCCCATTTCTTTCTTTTTCTCCACTCTGCCTTCCATAAAGTTAGCTTCGTACTAAGACTCCTTGTGGTTGTAAGATGGCTGCCAACAGCACATGTTACCAAACCAAACTTGAGTCTACCTGCCTGCGCACAGTAAAGCCAATCTACCACCACTAGGTTGTGGTGAAGGAAAGTGCAGTGTTTATTGTAAGGTTATTGTAAGACCGGACAAGGAGTCTGGGCAGCTAATGCTCAATGAACCTATGTGGACATAGGGCATCACATTCTCAGAGAGCTGTCAACCTAGTCTATAATATCTCCTTGCTAACGATTTTAGTTGCCCACTTACATACATACTTTTATTATCCTAATCATTAACTGCTCAGCTTTGTACTTGGGAGGAGCCCTGCTGTGTTCTGCTCAGTTTGAATATGGCTGATTCTCTGTTTAAATTCTTACCAGCTCTCCTGGCTCAACTGACTATTTTTGTCACTACATGTTCACATTCTTTCAATCATTAATTCTTGAGCCAGGCTTTTGTGACTCAGGGGAGGCCTAGGTGACTACAGCTTTTCTACAAACAAGAGGCAGGCAGAGAATATGGGGAAGGGGTCTGTCCCAGGAAGGTCCCATGGCCTGACACACCCAGGACCATGAAGGGTAACAGCGTATTTTACCCATAAATGTGCCATATTTGTTTTGAGCTAAAAACACTTAAAGCACAGATGATGTAAGAATGGCATCCTAATCTCCTCTTTCCTTCCTGAAAATAGGAAATTAAAGACTCCCACGTGAAAGAAGCCTTCCGTGTACCAGAAAGAAAGTAATATTCTTATCAAGGACAAAACTGACAGTTGAGACAGAGAATTCTATACAAACAGGCGTTGTTAAAATAATTCTTATCTTCCTTTAGCCTCCCCACACAGTTTAGTAACTTTTCCACAATTGCCTGTCTTTTTTCAACTAATATAAAAGCATATATGTTTTGCTGTTTTAGGGGGTGTTCATTTCCTTATGAGGGCTCCAATGTCATTTAACTTAGAAATTTGTCATTCTTAGAAATTTGTATGTTTTCCTCTTGTTAATCTGAGAGTTTGCATCTCAAGCCCAGTCAAAAAACCCTAAGAGGGTGCAGGGAAAAAGTTGCCTCCCTGACAGTTGCAATATATCTTTGTCAACATCCAAAGAAAGGGCCCACAAGCCTGTGCCTTTCCCAGCATTCCAGGCAGCAGTCCTAGAACTTGCTCTAATTGGACCCCTTTTAGTCACAAACCACCAGTGATGGAGACCAGGGGTGTGGAATATGCTGATTAGCTTAGACCTCCCAGGGCCCACCTACAGATTTGGGTTGAATTAGCTTCCCCTGAAGTGAGTAAATTGCATGAGGGAAGTCATATGATCTGAGTGAAAATTAGGTTGTTTTAGTAAGGAAGCTTATTTACTAAGGGCTTCCCTGATAGCCCAGTTGGTAAAGAATCCGCCTGCTTTGCAGGAGACCTTGGTTCAATTCCTGGTTCAGGAAGATCCACTAGAGAAGGGATAGGCTACCCACTCCAGTGTTCTTGGGCTTCCCTGTGGCTCAGCTGGTAAAGAATCCACCTGCAATGTGGGACACCTGGGTTGGGAAGATCCCCTGGAGAAGGGAAAGGTTATCCACTCCATTATTCTGGCCTGCAGAATTCCAAGTCGCAGAGTCGGACATGACTGAGTGACTTTCACTTTCAGCAAGGAAGCATGGAATGCTGAGGAGATGATCAACATGTACATTCTCAGTATTAGTTTTTTCGTTTTTTAACATGTCACCTACTGATGGATATAATAATGTGCATGTTGGCTTAGACAGTAAAGAATCTGCCTAACAGTGCTGGAGACCTGGGTTCGATCCCTGGATGGGAAAGATCCCTTGGAGAAGGAAATAGCAATACACTCCAGTATTCTTGCCTGGGGAACTCCATGGACAGAGGAGCCTGGAGGATTATAGTCCATGGGGTCGAAAAGAGTTGGACATGACTGAGCAACAGACAGTTTGACTTTCACTGATGAAGATACACATTTTCCCAATCTTTCACTCTTAAAAACAGTACTACCATGAACATCCTTAAACATATACACCCTTTTGCACAGGATCCCCAATACCGTCTTCAAACTTGCAGTATACTTCTCTCTCCATGTTTGAGGCCCCAAGAACAAGCTGCCTGACACCTTCAATGTCATCACCTCCATGGCCTGAGTAATGAAGACAGAAATGAGTCAGGATGGCTGTCTAGGGTGGAAAAAGTGAGGCCTGATTCTCACTGCACAAAAGCCAATTATGGCCAGGGAGTACTCCGCTAGGGTAAGAAATCCTGGTCAGATACCTTTGTTGGTTCAACTGCCGTGTGTCTTTAGACTAATTCTGTGAAGTACAAAGACTACTTAGCTCTCTGGTACACACCTAACAAATAACAGTGAGACAGAGACAGAAAACAGCAATGCTATCTCATTCAAAAAGTTGAGGAGAGGGCTTCCCAGGTGGTCCAGTGGCTGAGACTCTACACTTCCTATGCCAGGGGGCCCCAGGTTTGATCCCTGGTCAGGGAACTAGATCCCATGTGCTGCAACTAAGAGTCTGAATTTGGAAGAAAAAAAAATGATGCTGCAGTTAAAATATCTTGCATACTACAACTGGTAACAGCTAAACAAATATTTAAAAACAAAAAACAGGCACTTCCCTGGTGGCATAGTGGAAATGAATCTGTCTGCCAATGCAAGAGACATAGGTTCAATTCCTGGTCCAGGAGGATCCTGCATACTGCAGAGCAACGTAGTCTATGCACTACAACTACTCATCCTGCACTCTAGAGCCCATGAGCCACAAGTACATAGCCTGCAAACTGCACCCATTGAAGCCTGCGTGCCTAGAGCCCGTGCTCCGCAACAAGAGAAGCCACTGTAATGAGAAGCTCGTGCACCGCAACGAAGAATAGCCCCTGCTTGCCATAACTAGAGAAAGTCCACCACAGCAATGAAGACCCAGCACAACCATAAATAAACAAATAAAATTATTTTCTGAAAAAATAGAACTTTGAAAGAAAACAAAATACAGAACAACAGCAAAAAGAAAAAGAAAAACTGAGGGGAAAGAGGGACATACAGACCATAGCTATAACAAAAAAACTTTCTACATACTGATTTAGTCATACCTCACAAATTTTGGTGTTTTATTTTTACTTTTACTCAATTAAAAATGTTTCCTAACTTCACTTGTTTTCATTCGCCCCATGGGTTACTTAGAAAGTGGCCCGTATATTTGAGGAATTCCTAGATATCTTATTGATGACTAATTAAATACCTCAGATAATGTACCCTGTGTGTTTTCAATCCTTTGAAATTGGTTAAAGCTTGTTTTATGGCCCAACATAGAGTCTATCATAGTGAAAGTGCTATATGTTTTTTAATACAATCTGACAATCTCTACTTTTCACATAAAAGTATTTGGTTCATTGATATAAATAATTATTAATATGGTTAGATTTCAGTCTACCGTATTGGTTTAGTTTTCTGTTTATCCCATCTGTTCTTTTTTTCTATTCATCTCTTCCCTGAGTATATTTAGTCTGCCATTTGGTTCATTTATTTTCTTGGCTAAACTTCTTGGTGTTGTTTCTAGTGGTTTTTCTTTTTTTTTCTAGAAACCGGAACATTCATCTTTAACTTACCCATGTTATTGATCTCAAGCCTGCCTACCACCACCTGCATGCTACCTCCTACTTGTGAACTGTCTGTCCCTCAGTCACATCATTTTTCCAGTCACAGAAGCTATTCATTCATGCATTCATCTGTCAGGTACACTTAATGAGCACCAGGATATTGCAGGAAGAAGGTGCTAGTTTTCAAACAAAGTATAAATGGCAAAGGATATGTTTCCTTCTGGGCTTCCCCAGTGGCTCAGCTGTAAAGAATCCACCTGTAATGTATGAGAAACAGGAGGTGCAGGTTCAATCCCTGGGTCAGGAAGATCCCCTGGAGGAGGGTGTGGCAATCCACTCTAGGGTTCTTGCCTGGAGAATCCCATCAACAGATGGACCGCAGGCTACGGTCCATAGCATTGCAAGAGTTGGACATGACTGAATCAACTAAGCACGCATGGTTCCTTCCACCACCAGAAGTGACAAGGCAGTGCAGTCATTATCTCTAAGACCAATATGAAATGATGCTGTCACTGTAGAAAGTAAGGCCACTACAAGGATGAAGACAGACTCTTTTCAATCGTGTCCCAAGCAGTCCCAGTCAGCTCGACTTGAATGCAAACAAGTCAAGCTTCCTATACAAAATGATTACCCCGGAACAGGCAGAAGTCATTGAACTAGGAAAGCCAGAACAATTATGGGTGACTTGGAGCCAATTTTCCACACTGTTGCATCTGAGGATGGTTTAAAAACATCTTTAAAATGATGATTAAGAGCATTTTCAAATCACAAGACCAGTGCACAAGATCTGTATGTGTCAGGCTGTGCACAGAGGTGCTTTTTATAACTGCATAAAAGTCCCCAATTCTTTGGCAATGCCTAAGAATGCTCAAACTACTACACAATTGCACTCATGTCACACACTAGTAAAGTAATGCTCAAAGTTCTCCAAGCCAGGCTTCATCAATACGTAAACTGTGAACTTCCAGATGTTCAAGCTGGTTCTAGAAAAGGCAGAGGAACAAGATAGCAAATTGCCAACATCCGCTGAACCATCGAAAAAGCAAGAGAGTTCCAGAAATACATCTATTTCTGCTTTATTGACTATGCCAAAGCCTTTGATGGTGTGGATCACAATAAACTGCGGAAAATTCTTCAAGAGATGGGAATGCCAGGCCACCTGACCTGCCTCTTAAGAAACCTGTATGCAGGTCAGGAAGCAACAGTTAGAACTGGACATGGAACAACAGACTGGTTCCAAATAGGAAAAGGAGTACGTCAAGGCTGTATATTGTCACCCTGCTTATTTAACTTATATGCAGAGTACATCATGAGAAACTCTGGACTGGAAGAAGCACAAGCTGGAATCAAGATTGCCGGGAGAAATACCAATAATCTCAGATATGCAGATGACATCATCCTTATGGCAGAAAGTGAAGAAGAACTAAAGAGCCTCTTGATGAAAGTGAAAGAGAGGAGTGAAAAAGTTGGCTTAAAGCTCAACATTCAGAAACCTAAGATCATGGCATCTGGTCCCATCACTTCATGGCAAATAGATGGAGAAACAGTGGAAACAGTGGCTGACTTTATTTTGGGGGGCTCCAAAATCACTGCAGGTGGTGATTGCAGCCATGAAATTAAAAGACACTTACTCCTTGGAAGGAAAGTTATGACCAACCTAGACAGCTTATTACTTTGTCAACAAAGAGACATTACTTTGTCAACAAAGGTCCGGTCTGGTCAAGGCTATGGTTTTTCCAGTGGTCATGTATGAATGTGAGAGTTGAACTATAGAGAAAGCTGAGCACCAAAGAACTGATGCTTTTGAGCTGTGGTGTTGCAGAAGACTCTTGAGAGTCCCTTGGACTACAAGGAGATCCAACCAGTCCATCCTAAAGGAGATCAGTCCTTGGTGTTCATTGGAAGGACTGATGTTGAAGCTAAAACTCCAATACTTTGGCCACCTGATGCAAAGAGCTGACTCATTTGAAAAGACCCTGATGCTGGGAAAGATTGAGGGCAGGAAGAGAAGGGGACGACAGAGGATGAGATGGTTGGATTGCATCACCGACTCAATGGACATGAGTTTGGGTAAACTCCTGGAGTTGGTGATGGACAGGGAGGCCTGGCGTGCAGCGGTTCATGGGGTAGCAAAGAGTTGGACATGACTGAACGACTGAACTGAAAAGTCCCTAACATTAGGGTACTGATTGAAATAAAGTATGGTTAATCATGGGCTTCCCCTAGTGGCTCATATGGTAAAGAACCTGCCAGTAACGCAGGAGACGCCAGTTGGATCCCTGGGTCAGGAAGATCCCCTGGAGTGGGGTATGGCAGCCCACTCCAGTATTCTTGCCTGGAGAATCCCATGGACTGAGGGGCATGGAGGGCTACGGTCCATGAGGTTGCAAAAAGAGTTGAACACAACTGAAGCAACTGAGCATGCACATACGCATGGTTAATCATATATGGAGCTTCCGAGGTGGCTTAGTGGTAAAGAATCCACCTTCCAATGCGGGAGAACTGAGTTCAATCCCCGGGTCAGGAATATCCCCTGGAGAAGGAAATGGCAACCCACTCCAATATTCTTGCCTGGGAATTCCCATGGAGCTTGGAGGGCTACAGTGCATGGGGTCACAAGAGAGTCAGACACAATTTAGCAACTAAACAACAACAAACTACGTATATGTGACCCTATTTAGCCTTTTGAAATGACAGTGTCAGTCTATAGATGTTGACACGGAAAGATATCCACAATATATGGTCCAGGGAGAAAAGCAGATACTCGAACACTGTGATGCCATCTGCATGAATGGTTAATGGTAGAGTAGACCTATGGTAGGAGTCAGGCAGTAGGGGTTGTGTCTGGTTTTGAATACTGTCATATTCCAGGACATGATACAGGGATTTACATATTCTAGGCCCTCAATAAATATTTGTTAAATATAATCAAAATTTTGTTAAAAACCTTGAAGATTAATCCCCTACCTGTTAATAATAGAACAGTGGGTGATTTTTTTTTCTTTTTTATTGTCTTTATTTTCTGTTTCTTTTTCTGCAAGAAATATGCTGAGAAGAGGATTGACTGCTGCCTTCAGAATTACACTGTAATGAATACACACATTCCTCTGTAAGCACACACTGGGTTTTTAGGTCCCTGTTGTCTGTGTTGCTGCCTGAGAGAGCTGGAGGCCAGTGGAGGCTCTAATGAAGCTTTAGTGACTGCACTTTGTTCTTCTCAAGTTTGCCTTGCAGACAAGCTAGTGACTCTCTGATGTTAATCTACCAGATCCATGACCAGAGTGGGGGGAAAATGCTTAAAAACTCAAAATTCTTAGAATTCTTCCTGAGGATTATAAAGCTGCATGAGGACATGAATTTCTGAATCCCATTCCACTATCCAGGCAATAAAGATAAGTTCATAAGTACTGTGTCAAATGTCAAGTAAACATCAGATGGAAGAAGAGGAGTTTTGAAAGAATGCAAGTGGGTAAAAATTCTTTCTACTGCAGGGATCACAGAAATGGTAACACAATGATTATTCTCAAAGGCTGAAATAGAAACTTTCATCTCAATAAAACCCCTGAGCTTCTCAGATTAGAGAGTGGTAGAGTTCAGTATAAGCCCAAGTGAAAACATTTGAGATATTTTATGTGTATCTTTATTTTTATCCTGCTCTGACTAAAAAAAATAGAGAAAAAACATTTAAGCTTGCTTGCAAAATACATTAATAAAATATTTTTTAAGAAGTCACAGATACTATTAGGAAGAAGAGAGAATTAGCTTAGGAGAAATAATGTGAAGCCAGGGATAAGGTTGATGCACAAAATGCTTGCAATGAAAGTTCTACACACTTGCTAGTTACGAGCCACAGTTTGACTCTGAGCTTCCTAGCAGCTCATGCAAAGAAAGAAACAAGACCAGCTGTTTTACTCAGGATGTCTGTGAGAATAAAAACAATCATGTGCTTAATTCCAAGACCAGAAAGGCATTTCTTCCATGTGTTTTCATAGGGAACAAGGGGTCCCATTGAACACACAGATCTGTCAGTGGAACACATGCTTCCATGCACTGAGCCCATCTTTTTGAATCCTTGATCCATCCCTCTGGGCAAGAGAAGTGCCAACCAGGATCTGGTCTGAGCAAGAAATGTTACGATAAGATTCATATTTAGTGGTCAGCTCATCTTACACCAGTCCCCCTGTGAACAGTGATCATGAAGTCACCGAAGTCCATATGCCCAAACACATACATCCTAGATCTCATCAACTGGGGGACTAAGGGGCTGCTGAAAATGCACAGAATGAGACATATAGGTACAGAAGCAGGGAGTCCATGGTGAGTGCTGGCCCTCAGGTCCATCCCATGGACACAGCCAAGCTTCTATTTGATAGTCCGTAAAGTGGAGCTTTAGAGAAGGCAATGGCAACCCACTCCAGTGCTATTGCCTGGAAAATCCCATGGACGGAGGAGCCTGGTAGGCTGCAGTCCATGGGGTCGCAAAGAGTCAGACACGACTGAGCAATTTCACTTTTCACTTTCATGCGTTGGAGAAGGAAATGGCAATCCACTCCAGTGTTCTTGCCTGGAGAATCCCAGAGATGGGGGAGCCTGGTGGGCTGCTGTCTATGGGGTCGCACAGAGTCGGACACGACTGAAGTGATTTGGCGGCAGCAGCAGCAGCAAAGTGGAGCTTGTTCTGAGTCTTGACTGAGGAATGGAGATGACTCCTGTGAATACTGTCCTTTCATCCCCTCTGATCTCGTGGTGCTTGGCAGGGAAAGTGTGCCTGGTTGGTGAAATCTGTACATTCATGATGTCCTCGGGAGATATGGTCTCATTCTACTTTTAGAGCTCCCTTTAGAGTTACTGTTAGATCTTCCTGGCCACTCGTAACCAGCATCATGCTACCGTAAAGCTGGATCTACAGAGACTCAGGCTCAAGCTCCAAGCTGATACAACCACTTGGATTTTTTTCTCAGTCTTTTATTTTTTCAATATGGTAATACATTTAAATGAGACTTGGAAAATATAGAACAAAGTTACATACAGTTCCACTATATATTACAATTATTGTTGAGTAGATAAATTAAGATTTTTTAATTGGAATTTCAATATCAAGCTCTCAAAAATTAACAGAATGAATATACAGAGAAGTAGAAGGATATAGTAGACCTAAAAAGCACCATGAACCAATTCAACATGATTAAGATTTATACAATTTTCCCACAACAGTAGCATACAAACTCTATTCAAGTTCCCATAGACTATAAACTAGGAGACACTGGAACATATTCAGGGTGCAAGAATTTCATGGTCTAAAGGTATCGAAATCCTACAGAGTCTGACCAGGTGGATTTTTAAAGGAAGACCAAGTTGAGTGGCTTTGAAGTCCTTGCTGCACAGGTCAGCTGTTGTTCACTCCCTGCCCTGCCGAGGCTCAGATGCGGACAGAGCCTCCTGGAGCCGTCTGGAAGCCAAGGCCCCAGCAGTGGGTGCAGAAGCCCTCTTTGAGGGTGCAGGTCGAGGCTGCATTTTGCCAACACTGTGCTGAAGATGCACACGTGCAAGCCCTGCTCAGGGAGCTTGTCAGCCGCTCTTGGATGCTAACTAAGCAGGGTGGGCTGGTGTCCACGCTTCACCCAGATGTGCTTTCAGTTGCTGCTCTCGGGTCTTCTACCATGAGCCCCTCAGTGGATGTGTGGGGGTGGGATGGGGTAGAATGGCTGAAATGTGGCTTGGGTACAGGTTTCTGCTGATGGAGGGGGTGCCTCTGTGCCCCTCCCCCATCCACCCAGCCTGTGCATGTGTGCCCTGGGGGCCTGCCCACCACTCCCCCGACACCGCTGTACCATCGTGGGCCCCGCAGGGGCACTACAGGGGCTTAAGTCAGGGTTTCTGGTTCAGCATCCTCTCCCAGGCTTCTTAATGAACCTTCATTAGACCCTAGAGTTCTGGTAAGACTGAGATGCTTAACCCCCAGAAGAACACCAGCTATCCCAGAGATCTGCACTCCCAGTGCCCTGATGGGAACCAGTGCTGGCCAGGAAGACCACAAAGGGGAGCAGAACATGCCACCCGAAAGTGTGCCACTTTGGTGTGTGGATTATTTTGAACTGAAGGCAGTTAAGACCCTGAAAACTTAGGAAAACCTTTTTACCTCTTCCTTATCTGCCTGAAAAGTGAACATGTTAGTCACTCAGTCCCGTCCAATTCTTTGTGACCCCATGGACTGTAGCCCACCAGGCTCCTCTGTCCAGGTGATTCTCCAGGCAAGAAGACTGGAGTGGGTTGCCATTGTCCTTCTGACCCAGGACCTTCCTGACCCAGGGATCGAATCTTCTTGGCAGGCAGATTCTTTACTGTCTGAGCTATCAGGGAAGACTAAGAGATTTTTAAAAGGAAGCCTGTACCAAAAAGACAGCTCTTACCAGAGATAACTTTTTTCTAATCTGAGAGACTTACCTGCATGGGTAATATCTGATGCCAACCATCTGCTCTTCCCATCTTCCTGTGAATGGCCCTTGTCCCCCTGGGGTCAATGGCACTCCAGACCCCTAACCCTTTCCTCAGCTCAGGAAGGCAGCAAAGCCTCAATTGGCCAACTGCCTTTGCATCTTCTGTCTTTGTGGGGCTCCAGGATGCACATAATTTGTTTTTCTCCTATTAATTTGTCATCTGTCAATTTAATTATTACACCAGCCAAAGAATCTAGAATGGAGGAAAAGAATCCTTTTCTTCCCCAACAATGAAGAGATGAAGTTCTAGCACAAGGGAGGGAGGGGAAGGAGGAAGGAAGAAAAGACTGGGATGAAAAAGAGGGAGAAGAGAGGAGAAAGAGGTGCCAATAACATTATTCCTTGGTTTCTAAATCAGCACTTTTCTATCACTCCTCTTCCCAAGCTCCACTTGAGCAAATACGTGTGCTAAGTCGCTTCAGTCGTGTCTGACTCTTTGTGACCCCATAGACTGTAGCCCACCAGGCTCCTCTGTCCATGGGATTCTCCAGGCAAGAATACTGGAGTGGGTTGTCATACCCACCTCCAGGGGATCTTCCCGAGCCAGGGATCGAACCCCGGGTCTCCTGCATCTCCTGCATTGCAGGCGAATTCATTACCACTGAGCCACTGGGAAGCTGAGCAAATATAAAGAAGCAAATTGTTTCAGAAATCCTAGTTTCACTTTACATCTCCATTGCTAAACCAGAGACATAATAACAAGCCTGTTTGTTTCATGATTTTTAGGACATGAACAGAGGGAAGGAAGAAATATTCTTGGCAGCTTACCTCTTTTTTTAAAGTCTTCGTAATTTCCTGTTAATTTAAGACTGAACCTTTGCCAGGTAAATAACACAGGTAAAGATAAACTTCACTGGCCCTGGACTCTGACCTTTGTTGAACGCCCCGCCCCCTCTCTGTCAGATCTAGCCTCCGTCTCACGACTGGAAAGTTTGGAATTGTTACCTGGAAATTTTGAGCCAGAGAATAAATAGCTGATGAATCAGAGCATATTGATTTTATACTAGTGAGAGTATAAAAACACCAGCACATTTGAGAGTTCCTCTCCAGTCAGCTGATAAGTTTTCCTCTCTTTCTCAAAAAGGTAACCAAATGGAGTCAATTTCCTTTCCATGTTCCTGGCAGGACTCTTGCCCACTCTGCCACCTCCCAGCTTATGCCCACCCAGACTGTGCTTTGCCAGTATTGCACAGAACAATTTACTTAGACAAGAGTAATTTAAATAAGTATTTAATCCCTTGTTCTCCCTATTGTTGAGCACACCTATATTTCTCTTCTTGTTGGAAGGCTTCCTGTAACAATGATTCCAAAGAGGGGCTGTATATGATAAAGGGGTTATATCCTTTATATACCTGATAATCTAGCTAGAGATCAAAATCTAGGTTCCAAGTTCTTTCTCTTTGATACTTTAAAAATATTATTCAGCTGTTTTCTTAAATCCAGTGTTACTGTTTAGAAATTTGAAGTCAATTGATTTTTGTTCCTTCCTCACCCCTCTGCTATCCTGTTTCCTGGAGCATAGAGGTAATGGCTGGAGCTTTCGCTGCTAGTTTGAATCATGAGGACAAGATGGAGGAATAGTGATCCAGAATGAAACCTGTGTCTTCAAAGACCCAGTAAAACAGAGCTACAACGTCAGCCATGAACTATCCATCTTTAAACTTCTACAACAGAGAAAAATAAATGTTCATTGTGTTTATGCCACTGTTATGTGTAGTCTGTGTCATTAGCAGCTAAAATGAATCTGCTTTCATGTATTGATTAAATCTGCATTAGCTTATACTTTCCATAAATCTGATTAATTTTCTCAGTGAGTTCCTGTTCACCGGATATCAGCTATCTTGGCTGGCAGCAGGTAAACATGAAAGGGACTGAAATTTAGGTTTTATCTTGAGCTCCCTCCTAGTGAGCTCAAGGAATATGAGTGGGCCTGGGAATGGCCTCTGGCATGACAGTGTGAATTTGGCAACTCCCCATGTGCCACCCCCCCCCACCGTCATCAGGGAACTTGTGGGCACACTCTCCTGGCACTGCTCTTTTCAGAAGCCAGCCCTTGTGGTTGGAATGCCCTGGTCCTGCCAGGGGAAAGAAGGGACTGCTAGGCTGCAGATCTACTTGTCTGTACTTCTGCCCTCAACCTAATGTTACCATCTGGGGCTGTTTTCAGTGCCATGGGAGGTGGGGTGGGGAGAGGCTGGAGTTGGGCAATGATCTGGTGGGGAGAAAAGAACACATCACAAGGTGATCGATCACTCAGCCTATCCTTTTCCAGGGTACCCTGCTCTCATCTGGAAAGGGTTTCTGTGTCTCTCCCACACATGTGGCCTCCCTGCTGTGGCCTCCAGGAAGGTGGGGGTGGGGAGGGCACATCTCATGGTTTTTAGGTTTGTCTCTCCGTCTTCTTCAACCTCCCTCTTGCTTCCATATAGCACCTTCAGGTTTGTATTCACGGGAGTGTGCCAGCATCTTGTCAGCCCCACATTTTTTCATTGTACTGATCACCATCTGAAGCTGATATTTATACATGTACTTGTTTATGGTCTTTCTCTCGAAACCTCCACTAGATCTGCAGCTCCACAAAGGTAGCAATTTCGCCTGTTCGCAGCTGCCTTCCCAGCAGCGGGCACAGTGCATGGTAGAGATGCTCAATAAACCCAGATTGTTGACGGAATCACTGAGCTGGTGCTGGAACATAACCTGATTACAGCACAGGGATTCCTGCTCCATATGTTGTGCTTTTCCCACCTAAGTCCCTGGATCTCCTGGGCAAAGATGGTGTAGAGAGGCAAGAGGTCATATTAACTAAGACCCCAACAATGATATTGGGTCCTTCCCCAAACACTGGCTGAAATCACTGCTGGGTGATCAGACCTAGGGCCAGGCTCCTCTGTCCATGGAATCCTCACTGCTTGAGCTCAAGAAAGCTTTGTTTTAATTGAATGGACATACAAACTCTCCAGGAAGAGGTGTTTCAACATAATTTTAAGGGGCAGGAAACAGGGTAACTACAAGAGCAGTTTGGGGGTTATATGGTGAAGGAGAGATTGGAGTGCTAACATGTTCTTGACCCAAAAGGGCCTTTGGTCTATACCGTGTCATAGAGGGTAGGTAAAGAGCCTGGACCAGCGCTGCCCTAGCCACTCATTTCATGTGGCTATTTACACTTAATTAAAATGTAATAAAATCCAAAATTCAGTTTCTCAGTAGCACTAGCCAGATTTCAAGTGCTCCATAATAGCCACATATGGCTAGGAGCTGTTGCACTGGACAGTTGTTTAGTCGCTTAGTCCTGTCCGACACTTCTGCAACCCCATGGCCTGGAGCCCACCAGGCTCCTCTCTCCACGAGACTTACCAGGCCAGAATACTGGAGTGGGTTGCCATTTCCTCCTCCAGGGGATCTTCCCAACCCAGGGATCAAACCTGCATCTCTGGCATTGCGGGCAGATTCTTTACCACTGAACCACTCGGGAAGCCAACACTGGACAGTACAGATAATATATAAAACCCTTTCATCATCACAGAATGTTCTATTGGACAAAGCTGACTTAGACCCTTAGAATGAAAGGAAATGCATTCCTACTGCTGACCTGGCCTGCTGACATTCTCTTGTCCTCCAGCCCATCCCCACGTCTCCAGCACACATATATCAAAACAGCATCCCGTCCCCACAGACTTACTGCGCCACAGGGAACAACACTATCTGCCTTTACTTCCAGGGTCCTGCAGGTCATAGGATTTATTGAAACGATGAGCCCTCAAAAAGTTTTTGTTCAAGGCTGAAGGCCCAAAAAGTGAGTCAAGGACCGAAGTAACAGAAGAGACTCCTGCTTCCCTTCTTTTCTCACCTCAACCCTCTTCTCTGGTGCCCCCCACCCCCACCCAACACACACACACATACACCCGCCCCAAATTCCAAAGCAGCAGTCAGGGACAGTCCCGCCTCCAAAATTTCCTGTCACCACACCACGAGAACTCCTCAGAAATATCTGCTCCAGGTCTCAGAGCAGTCTTGCTTGTGAAGATACATTTATTCACATGATCATTTTCTGTCTTACTCCACCTTCCACTCCTGTGCACTTAGCAGAAGTGTGAGCTGCCCAGTCGTGTCTGACTCTATGTGACCCCATGGACTGTAGCCCACGGGGCTCCTCTGTCCGTGGAATTCTCCAGGCAAGAGTCCTGGAGAGGGTGGCCATTCCCTTCTCCAGTGCACCTAGTAGGCGTTCAGTAAATGCTGGATGAACGGCTCAGTTTCCCCTTCTCTGCCGCCGAGGGACCGCGGGAGGCGCCACCCTTAGAGGACTGGCGGGGGAGAAAGCCCCCGCCCAGTTCCCGGCTGAAGCGGGGCGATCCTGCCCTCGGGCCGGGGGTCGGGCGAGGCGCAGCCCTGGAGGCGTGTCCTCCCGGGCCCGGCGCCGCCGCCCCGAGAGGCGGGCAGCTGGCCCGGCAGGGCCGCAGCGGCCGCAGAGGTCGGGCGGCCGCGAGCATGGAGAGCGAGTTGGAGGCGCTGGCCGCCCGGCCCGAGAGCCCGGGCGAGCCGCCCTTCCAGGCGCTGGTGGAGGCGGCGGGCGGCCGCGGGCAGGTGCTACTGGTGGGCGAGCTGTGGGAGCGCGAGCAGAGCCGCGCGCTCCTGTGGGACTTCGCCCGAGCAGTGTTCCCGCCCCAGCAAGCCGCGGGCAAGCCCGGCGGCGGGGCCGCCGAGGGCGCGGGACCCGGGGCGCCCGGCGTGCCGAAAAGGCACGCGACCGGGGCGCGCGCCATCCGCTCGCCGCTCGTCTTCGTGCTGTGCCGCGCGTCGTCGCTGGCCGCCCGGGGGCCGCGGCGCCACCTGCGGGAGATGCTGCGGGATGTGCGAGGCCGGCGGCGGGCCGGCGCGGCGCTGGTCGGGGTGCTGGTGGCCGAGGCGGAGCCGGAGGACGCGGGGGCCCCGGAGCTGCGGCTGCTGGAGGCTCTGCTGCGCACGGTGTTCGGCCGCCAGGCGGGAGGCCCGGTGCAGGCGGCCGCCTACCGCCCCGGCCACCCGGCTTCCAGCCTGGCGGTTCAGGCGGCCGCCTGCAGGGCCCTGCAAGCCGCCGGGCCCTGGCGCCCAGGTGAGGGGGGCGCGAGGCCCGCGGGGCGCGGGAGGGCGGCGGCTGGACACCGCATTGGGAGCTCTTTAGGCCAGCGCCCCACCACCCCCGCCTCGTGATACCCCGAGGTAAACTGAGGCCGGGAGAGAGGCGGTGCCTAGCCCTAGGCCTCCCAACTAGGGCGGAGCGGGGCCCTGGGCAAGGGGCCGAGGCTGTCCCGGGAGGACCCTGAGTGCATGCGAAATACAGGGTCTTAGGAAAGCCCAAGGGACAAGCAGAAGGCAGGGGTGGTTGGTAGAGAGAGGGCTGGACGGCGCTGGGCAAAGATCTGGAAGTTTCCGGGAGGGGAAGGAGGGGGAGGAGACGGGAAAGCCTTGAGAAGCGCCAGTTTAAAGGTGAGAGGATCGCAGGATCGGGACCAGGGGGTTTCTGGTCTGGGAGCTTCTAGGACGCTCGCTGCTAGGGATGCGGAATGCGCTACGGATGCGATGGTGAAGCGATGGTGAAGCGCCGTGGGGTCAAAGGAACAAGGCAAGGAATAAATGCGGGGCGCTTGGAAGTTGGGGGAAAAGGATGTGAGGGACTGAGGCACAGGCTTTCCCAGTCCTTCTTGACTGCCCACCGCGGTGTCTGCCTCTCTTCCCTCCCCACACTCCTAAGGAGAGGGGAAGGAAGTGGGGGTCTTTTCCCAGCCCCGTTGACTGCTGCCATCGGCAAAAGGGTGAGAATCTTCTCCATCCTGGTACACAAGGTCTTACAGAAGCTTTCCAGGGCCCCGAGATTAAAATACGGACGCTAAGTACAGCTGGACCTGGCAAAGCTAGGAAATGCCAGCGCGATCTTTGCACTTCTAGCATCCTTCTCCTACTCCTCTCTCCAGCACCTGCCGCCCTCCAAGCCTTCCAGCCTCTGCCAACCCTTCTTGCTACAGTTTCTTAAGATAGAGGCTGTATTCTGCCTCCCTGGGCATTCGTGTGTTAACTCAGCAACTGGGTGATGCCAGACTTAACGGGGGTGGGGATGAGTCTCCTTTTCCAGCAAGGAGAGCTGGTACCCCTGATGTCACAGGCTTCCCTGCCAACTTGGCCGGCCTAGGTGAAGACCATCCCTTTCAGCTGTAGAGCCTGTCCTAACCTCCCCCACCCCTTCCCACATCTATTCTGTTGAGTCTGTGAGAAAGCCAGCTAAATTTGAAACTCAGTGTGTAGCATCTTGAAAGACATGAAGAATGTCCCGAGGTGGATTGTCATTCAAATTGGTGCTGCCAGCACCTTTGCTGACCTGGCCCCATGAGGAAAATTTTCTGTTCCTTAGTGAATTTGTGCCTAGAAAATTATCTGAGCCCTTAGTTTCTCAGCGATCTACTATTCCCAGGGAACAACTTTTTAATTCCCCAGAGCCAAGCTTGCTCTGGCCTCCACTTTTTTTTTACATTGCAGTTGCATGAAAAGCGTTTTCTTCCATCCTCCTTTTCCTCTCACCATTCAGAAGTGGACTTCCTCCTCCAGAAAGCCTTCCCTGACCCACTCCCATTTGCAAGTTCACAAATGAAACCCCAGAACCCGCTTCTGCTCTCCAAGCTCTTACCACGGTGGTTTTGTCACTTTCCCTTGTGAGTTTCATCACCACTGTAT